GGCGGCCGAGAAGGCCCCTTCCTCGGCGGAGAAGAAGCCGAAGGCCGAGAAGAAGATCACCAAGGAGGGCGGCGATAAGAAGAAGAAGAAGATCAAAAAGAGCACCGAGACTTACAAGATCTACATTTTCAAGGTTTTGAAGCAGGTCCACCCTGACATTGGGATCTCCAGCAAGGCCATGGGCATTATGAACAGTTTCATCAACGATATCTTCGAGAAGCTCGCGCAGGAGGCTTCTAAATTGGCTAGATATAACAAGAAACCGACGATCACCTCCCGGGAGATCCAGACCGCCGTTCGATTGGTGTTGCCTGGTGAGTTAGCGAAGCACGCCGTATCTGAAGGAACTAAAGCCGTGACTAAATTTACCAGTTCTTAGGTTTCCTAATCAGTGAATTTTTGGATTAGGGTTACGTTTGCAGTTATGGTATTTTTTTGTTTGTTTGTGTAGATCCTGGTTTCTATGGTGTTAGATGTAACGAACTAATAGTTTTAATGAATAACAAGTGCTTCTATTCGATAGAATTTTCCATTGTGTGGTGCAAATGCAGATTAACTTTTGGTTTCTGCATAATATGAATCTCGGAAGGGAAGAGCATTAGGTTTTCTGCAGATTTGATCTTGTGATGATCCCTTTCCAATTCATATAAATGTTCATGCTCCGATTCTTTCTTACTTAATGATTACGATTTCACGTTCTTCATGCGAATGTGAAATTTCTGGATCAGAAATCGACTGAATAAGCTGCAGCAAATCTATAATTCATGATAAATCATCTCATTATTCAGGAACTTCATTGAGTGTGATTGCCATTGGCAGGTTCGTAGTGGGTAGGAAACAATTAATTCCCAAGTCAGGCTTTGATTTTGCATCTCTCTGTCTAATGAGTCCCATCTGATCTCTAGAGATAAATTACTTGTGCCATTAAAATTTAAAAATGAAGTGGGTTGAAAAAATAACAATCCATCTTCGTTTTTCTAATAAATTGTCTTAAATTTTACAGCCATTATAATTTGAAATGAAATGGTTTGGAATCAAAAGATGACGTATAATTCATTGAAAGAGTTTGTTACCAAGGCAAAATCTTCTGTAACTTAAAATACATTTGCTCACCATTTTGTGCAAGGCTATTTATATAATCAGATGAAAAGAACATAAAACAAAGTTTTATTATTTGTTTTAATTTCAATAGAATAAAAACAGTTTAAATACTATTTTAGTATTAAAACTAAAATAATGGGTCACAATTTTAAATATTAAAAACTAAACCTTCGAAAGTACACCGATTAAAATAGACGAAAAAGTAGACCAATATAAAATCGAGACCATTCTTTTTGAGATAAAAGGACTTGACTTCTGTCCGGTCAGCGCCGACGAAGCAGATAATGGATATACCTCGGAAATGGGCTTCGACAAAACAGGCCGGGGCCGGCCCGGCCCAATGGAAAATGTTAGTAAATATCTGAGAACTAATTGAGAAATGTAGAAACGTGTAAAGTTGTAATTGGGCGTGGCAGCTATATCTATGCGACCGATTCGTTGCTGTTGACCCAAAAGATTAGTTCCGTAAGATCCCAATTCCGCCACCATTTTCGACCTCATCCTCCCAAAATTATCCGATTCCGATCCATCTCCGCCGCCTCTGGAACTTCGCCGATCTTTTTCGCCATGTTACGGATCACATGAATCCCGCCTTATCCGTCGCCTCACGATCTCAATTTCAGGTTCTTATGTTCTTCACCTTCGATTGTTTTTGATTCCGACATTACGATTTCTTTGCCCCATTTCCTCCAGCCCTTGGCTCGCAAATCTGAAGTTTTGTTTGACCCTTCGCTAATTCGGGTTTCGAAGAGCATTTCAATATGCCTTCGGTACCTCTTCATCTCTTCCTGCGCCCCCTGCTTCCTTCTTTGACTTCATTTCATGGTGGTTCCTCCTCGCATCGTCTGAAACGGCTCGAGAAGGGTGATCGGCGTGGTAATCTTAGTTAACATGGGGTTCTTTTAGCGCATTCCGTGCTCTGTTTCTATTCTCCAGCCTTCTCTTTTCTCCTTCTTGCTCTGTGCTCCGTTTGAGGTTTCGGATTCCTTGAGAAATTAGAGTTTTAAGGTTTAAGGGTTTCTTCTTTTGCTCTTGATTTTGAGGTTTTTTCCGGTCGAAGCCTCTGTTAGCGAGTTACTGGATCGAAATTGACTACTCGTTGAGAGGGTTCTTGCAATCCTGATTATTGTGCAAGGTACTTCTTTAGATTTGTTTTCTTCCATTTGCTTTAAGAAACGCCATAATAGCTTCTTGATTCTTTCTGAGCACCGGGATCGAGTTTCTTCCGGGCTTGTCTTGAGTTATCTTGGTTGGTTCTATGCAGGTCCTAGCAGATTTCTCGTGCTATATATAATTCTGAATGGACATTCCTTCCATTCATCAGAAGTTGGCTATCCTGGATGTAGACGGCTTGGATGATCTGCAGTCGTCTTTGAAAGAAATTGATGGTGCATTGTTTAATGATCTTGACGGATCTTTTAAGAAGTATTTGAGCATTGATAATACCCAAAGTTCAGAGTGCAATCTGAATTGCGGTGATAATTCAAATGACAGAAACAATCAAGAAGAGCTAGAACTTCCCAAGAGCAACTCATCTAAGAAGTGTTTAGGCAGGTCCGCAACCTTTCCTTTTCCTGCTGCAACATCGCCTCCTAATGATTCTTCAGACAATGATGAGAAACCACAATCAACAATGGGCGATATGGCCTCTAAGGAATCTACGCATCAAGCTTTTACAAGATCAGTTTCTTGTCCAGTAAGTTCTCTTCTCATCAATACTAGAAACAGAAAAAATTGCAGGTGTGTCTAGTGTATATGATGATTTCTTGTATTCTGTTATATTGCTTTGCTATTATTCTTTTCTTGTCATAAAAAACTATCAATAGTTATCATTATTTTTATTTGTGACAAAAGGCAATTTGGTGTGGGAATTGGGAACCTTTAAGAACAAGCTTTGCCAATTTGGTTGTACCTAGAGTTATCATTCTTTGAGGGCAAGTTATCAATCATGATTATAATGTAGTGATTGCACGTCTAATTGTTGTTTCCTTTATGCAAATTTTTCATGTCCTTGTGTTTTGTGTGGAGAATTTTCTGTCAACATTGATTGTTGTGAGTGAGCAGCATAACCCAGAAGATGATTGTCTTTTCACTGCAATTTTTGTTCACTCACCCTGAATGCAGATTTGAGCTTCTTACTGATAAAATACCCTAGAGATGTACAACCCCATTGCATATTGGCATTTCGGTCTTATCCCTTCCGTTTTCTTTTGTTCAGACTCCTGGGAAGCTCATATCTGCCATGAAAGGTAGCCGAGCACAACACTCCGGCGCTTCACCTAAGCTGACTGTGAAATGGGCTCCTGATGTGTATGATCCTCCCCAGACATCTTTGTGTCATAGTGTAAAAAACAACAAAAAACAGCAGAAATCTAAGAACAGGAAGAATGGAAAGAAAGGACAGAAGAGCAGCAACTCTTCCCGTGGGAGTGGTGGCCGGGACAAAAGGCAGGCTCGTAAAGCCGTCTGCAGCTCTGATCGGTATCAAAGGTCATTCGACTCTCACGAAAACTTGGTTAATACTCTCGATGAGTTCGAGAGTTTCGATGATGGGAGCTCAGATTCTCACTGTGGAAGTATCTTCCTGAAAACATCACTCACTAAGGTGCACTACTCTGTTACCGAAGCCTTGTGAGCATTATTAATCCAAGTTTTCATCTTCTCCCACAGTTTCTGTAAATAAATAAAATGTTGTTTTGGTTTCTTTTGTGATTGTGGATGACCGAGCGGCTTGGACCAATTAATTGTTCGATGTTAACTTTTTTGTTGTGTTTGTACGAGGGATTGCCCGAGGATTTATAGAACACTTTATGATATGGTTGAAATTTCGCTTTATGTTAAACGATTGATGTGATATGTTCCTACTTTAATATTTGGATATATTGTTGTGATTTTTAGTTTGTTGTATACATGTTTTCTTGTAGAAGAAGCCCATTTCAATAGGGAATTTTCTTATTTTGGCCTAATCTGACTGGAATCTAGGGGTTGTTTTATTAGGAAAAATGTTCTAAAGCTAGTTTTTGGCTTTTATTCAAATCTTGAAATTGTAAATCCCTAACTTGATCTTATTGTGCATATTGAGAGTACAAAACACCCATTTAATCAAATCTTGAAATTGTAAATCCCTAACTTGTCCCAAAACAAGAGAAGTTTATAAATAATCAATTGAATTCAGCTGAATGATTTCAATTGATACTTTGGTTAACAAGGATTTTCTGAGTACTGAGTAACGTATTCCTGTGTAAGCAGTCTATGTAGTGTACTCTGCATTTATTTTGACGTAGTCGTAGCTCAAGTCACAGCCCCATGCCCGCCCTTCTCCGGATCCATCGCCTGTAGATCGAAGCAACTAACTAGTTACTAGTTTGTTCGGTCGATAACTACTTTGTTTTCAGATTTCTGTGTTTAGTGAGTGAAAGATCTAATATGTCATTTGTTGAAGAACTCACCTATGGAGATGTAAATTCTGACAGTACCATGGGTTTCTCCAGCTCTTCTGAGATAGTTACTAGCCGCAGCCCTGAAAACAGACACAATATAACACAGTTTTTGTAGCATCCTGGTGGTTAAAAGAAATGTAAAGATTTGGAGATTGAAGAAACTATAGACCTGTCAAAAGATTGAGGTTCTCCACCATCCATGAGGAGAATGTTTCCCAGTGACACTTTGAGTTTCTTCTGCTCGAACAGTACCCCTGCGTAGCCAGCAGCCGCTGCAATACGTCCCCAGTTTGGATCACGGCCATATATAGCTGACTGCATCATGAAAATATTTCGATGAAACGTGATTTGCACGAGGGGTTGGAGCAGATGTTTAAGAATGGAAAATCATGCCTTTACAAGCGACGATCCTGCAACCGAACGAGCAATTTTCGCTGCTTCAGCTTCTGAACTCGTGCCACTCACCGTGACCTGTGTCATTTACAATGGGAAATTCTACATCGAATACTCTTTTTCACTGCTAAAAATGCAAGAACATAATAGAAGTGGTGAGAGATGCAAGTATTTGAATTGCAGACCTCAATAAGACAGGTTGCTCCTTCTCCATCCCAAGCTATTGACTTGGCAAGGCCTTGCATCACCTGAAAAATCAAAAGATAGCCATTGAAACTTCAAAAGTTATTATTGAAGAAAGAAGGTAATTTAGTTCAAAATGTGTTTATCAGCAATATTATACACGAAATTAGATACATACCACATCAAGACATTGTTGAAGCTGGCCAGCTTCACGAGTGTTCAACGACAAAATTGGATTAGAAGATGACAACCCGCTTGACAAAGCAATCACCGTGTCGTTCGTACTCGTATCCCCGTCCACCTGCATTGCTTTCTTTAATAAACAATTTTATATAGAACGTAAAGTTTTTTCTTTTTTTTTTCAAAGAAAAGAGAACATACAGTAATCTGATTGAAGCTTCGGTCCACAGAAATCTGCACCATCTTTCTCCAAACATCACTACCAACCACTGCATCCGTTGTTATAACCTGGCCCCCCACCCCCACATTGTCACAAATAACCATTAATCAAAACGACTAACATGTTACGGTACGAACCCAGAAGTTTCGAGATACGTACGCCGAGCATAGTAGCCATATTTGGGTGAATCATTCCCGAGCCTTTTGCCATTCCTCCAATTCTTATGATCGAGTCCCCAACCTAAACACATGTGACCCAATTCTAATTTTAATCCTATCCTTTCTGCAGTCAGTTTATTCAAACGTGACTTCTAGCAACAACACGAAAAAATATTTACGCACTCGGGACTCGATTGCCACGCTTTTACTGACAAGGTCGGTCGTTGTTATTGCCACTGCTGCAGAAGCTGCACTGTGAACCAGAACCAGAAATTTTCAAAGACTTGAATGAAAATACAACTAAAATGAACTAAAAGATTGAGGATTACCCTTCAATTGAAGGTGAAAGGGAACTGACTAGTTTTGGAAGAGAATTCAACAGTGCTTCCTGCATTCGAAGTTGGATATACATAACTTTAGAATTTGAGCCAACACATCCCATTGGTATGAACCTATTCAGCGACATTTCTGTTTCTTGTTTTCTCAATTTTTTTTTCCAATCAAGAAAAATAGAATTGTGTTTGATAACTGTTTCTTGTTTTTTATCTGTTTTATAGAAAAATAAAATAAAAAACATGTTTGGTAACCACTTTTCGTGACTTGTTCTCTAAACTTTTAAATTAAAAAAGTAAAAATTTTATATGAAAATTAAAATTTCAAATTAAATGTTCAAAATTTTTATGTTACATTATGATATCTATTATGCATTTCAAAAGTAAGGAATGATAAAATAGTGCTTTGATTTATGTTTTAGAAAAAAAAAAACTGAAAAAGAAACCAGAAACAAAAAATCTGTTGTTTCTAAAATTTCTACACAATTTTGAAATCATTTCTTAAAAATAAAAAAATGAAAAATATGATTAATTACCAAACGCTTATGTTGTTTATACGCTGAAAACACCAGAATAAACAAAAAACGGGAACGTTAGCAAACGGGCTCTATAATGTCAACTAAAAAACAAGACATATTCACTCTCCAAAACCTTTTTTATTCTATGACCAATGACCCCAGTGGATTCAACTAGGACTTCCTCTGGCCTTATTTGAAGAATCTGCAATAAAGGTCAAGTTGCAGCTTAAAAAGTTGTACTAAAAAATTAACAATAGATGACATGTTGTAAACACTACTAAGATACATGCCTCAGCAAGATTGTTGACACATTCTACCACATCTTTATAACCGGCATCCCCCTGCAGTAACCGAAAGACTCTTAGATACGTAAATATTCATCAATCGAACTAGCGATAACGGTTTATCATGAACATGGGCATAGATTTCTAACTTTTCAAGTCCAAATCATATGCAAGAGCTACGCAGGTTGTGTATCAAATTATATTCGATAGAAGAAATCAAAATAACTGCTTACCGTTGCAGCATTGGCTTGACCAGCATTTATTAACACCGCACGTGCCTATTAAATCGTAGAATTGATCAAAATGTCGTTAGCAAACAAACTAGTGCATGATGTTACAATTTTAGCTGGTGAATTTAAATGCAATTCAATGTGTTGAATGGAGCGAGCCAGCATTATGGGTAGCCATATAAAAGGTGCAAAATCAATGAACTTGTCTAGTTATGGTTTTACCATAGGTACAAGTTCTCAGCGATATGCAAGAGATTATCGTGTCGCAAACTAAATCAACTAACTAACATCAGAAATTTGGTTGAAGAAGCTTATTGTAAACGTAACTCAATGTAATCACAATACACACATATAAAGCTCAGTCTCTGATTTAGCAACAATACATCGAAAGACCTACCGTTTCTGAAACATTCAAAGCTTTTTTACAGTATAACACTGGTGCAGCAGCAACTACATTCCTTGTAAATGCTCCTGGAAATGAAAATGAACAAACTCGAATGATGCATCTGAAACCAATCAACACCACTAAAAGTTCAGAATCAGCTAATCTAGTCCCCAGGGATGCAACCAAAATCATTCCTTTAATCAGCTAATCTATCATCCACTATAGAACAGATCCTTTTCAAGTAAGGTTGTTCTAATTTATCATGCTCTAGTTAGCATTATTTATAAATTAAAGATTATTGTAGAACGTGGATTAACTCAAGAATGAGCTCTTACCTGCAGAAATGGCATCAACATCACAAGTAACAAGTGCAAGATCAGGTTTCTCCCCCTTTGCGCGTAACCCACCATAAAGCCCTGCAGCTTTGAATCCTTTTGCAGCACTAACTCCTCCATCAATCTACAAGAACAAGTTCACGAATTATGAATCAAAGATAGATTCTACTACTTAAAGAGAGAAGAACAAAACATCACAGTAAGAATATCTGGTCAAAGGCATATTCGACAACGTTTTTAGTTTACTGCTTCTTTGAAGATTAAACTTACAAAAACAACAGATACCTATGCCTTTATTTTCAAATTTCAGTTGAGTTTCAAAGCAAAAACAGGTTTCAGAGAAAGGGTTGTTTTGTTTTTGCAAGCTGGGCAAGAATTCAAATGTGTTCGAAATTGTGAGAAAACAAGCATAAACTAAAAACGAAATGGTTACCAAACTGCATAATGTTTCAGAGAAATAGAGAATCAAAAGAACAAAGAAGTTTAGGGCAAGAAAAGAAGTGGGAACCTGCTTCCATGGTCCATCAGGAATCAGGATCGGAGCTTCGGGCAGATAAGTGGCGGCGTCACTGGTAGCGACAGCAAACACCCGAAAATTCCTCTGAGAAGAAACATACGATCAGGCGCTGGAAAATGGAAAATCCCAAGTAAAAAGCGGAAATATGAAAATGGGTATGAAGATTGTTTATGTTGGTGGCTGAAATCGAAGCACAGAGCAGAAAACGGACCTTGGGGGAATGAAGGGCGGGGAATTTGAGGGAGGCGTAGTGAGGAAGAGAGAGATACATGGTGGGTTTTGAAACTGAAAACTGAAAACTGAAACACAGAGCGTTAGATTTTGATTTTATGAAGGAAATGGGAATTCTGGAAATGGGTTTTGGTTTTCTTTTGGTGGGTCTCTCTCAAATTGGCCAGCAGCAGCAGCCATTGCGGCGGCCAAGGGGCGCCTGTTGAAGCACGTGAGATGGGCGTGGGGTTCCTCTGTGAATCAATGGAACTTCAAATCAAGGCTTCAGTTCAAAAACTTTACAATAAATAAGCATAATTTTATAATCCTCCGCTGAAACGGAATTAAAATGAATCAAAATCAAAAGTAGAAATATTATTTAAATTTTTTATTTATTGTCTCATTTTATCCTTCTGTCTTTACATTAGACAATAGTGTTCATCAGAAATGGTGCATCATTTCGTTAAAAACTAATAACACGTCAAAACAAAATGATCGATTGAGACCGAAAATAAACTATTCATTTTGTGTTTGCTTTGTTTTTTTTTTTTTTTTGAAAAAACACGTTAAATAAAATAAAAGATGGGATTTGACCTTTTGGAGCTTTTTAAAAAAATTTTAGAAGTAGATTGTAAAACAAGAAAATTGTTAAGGCTTAATTTAGATCAAATTTGGTTGGAATGGTAAAACAAATTTTAAAATTAGGCTGCAAAAACAAAAAATGAACTTATTTTTTAAAATCTAAAATCAAAATTCTAATAAACAGTCTTTAGCGCGGAAGGAACCATTAAAATTTATATCAGTATCTCATGAGGAGACGAACAAAATACAAAGTATAGCTCAATGGTAGTTAACACCCGTCTCTAACCAAGAGATGATAACCTCGAATCCTTCCTACTTAAGAATAAATAAAAATACAAAGCATAAAAGACAGTTAGTTTCCCTAGGCAGCTCCAGAAGAGCAAGAGCAATAAAAAATGCAATCAATGTATAGTTCAATGTATAGGATATAAAGATGAGAACGTCCAGAGACCAAAAATGATGAGATGAGCCTATTTTATGTGCTGAATTGGTAATGGTGACCCTGTTTTTCATCTATCCAGAGTCTTGAATCCAACTACAATATCGGATGAGAAATTGGGGAGACACAAAATCTGATCTAGAGTGTCAAACAATCGTCAACCGCACCAACCGATCGTCTTATTTGTTCTGAAACCTTCCGTAGGCTCGTGGTTTGGTTGCGGAGGCGGCCTAGGCTCCCTTGGTTTGGCTGGGTCAACAAAAATAACCCACCCATCCAGGAACTTGGCATTCATTTCTTCTCTCGCCTTCTCGGCTTCCTCAATGCTTGCGTAAGTAACAAAACCGAAGCCCTTTGATCTTCCAGAGGCTCGATCAGTAATAACTTTTGCTGGAGGGTCATCAAGCAGAGTCAATGTGGGTCAATATGATTATAGTGTTTGAAAGGCTATGTCCAAGGAAATGAAAACACAGAATTGGAGGAAAGCGAATATTGTTGTTCACCTTCAACAAGCTGGCCAAAAGGAGAAAAGGCCTCCTTCAGCTTATCATCTGTAGTTAGTCTTGAAAGACCTGCTTGTTGGGCAACAAAAAAACGCGATAGTCACTACGCTAACAGAGTAAATAACAGGCCATTCAGTAGTTCAATAATCGATCAACTGTCATCTTTGCACCTCTAAAATTTTCATAATGTACTAGTTTGTATGTCAGTCAGAGATTTTTCCCATTTTTTTCTTAATAAAGACCAAGCTTTCATTGAGAAAATAATGAAAAATAACAAAAGAATAAGCCAAGGGCTGAAAAAAAAACCAGCAGAAAACAGGTTGCGACCAGGAGAGCCCCGCAACTAACCATACAAAAAAAGACTCCAATCCGAAACGATGAGACTTGACGGATAACTACAAAATTCCTTAGAAACCAGCGTCCAAGTAGAGAAACGTGCGACCAGTACCACAACTCCTCTCAAGATGTTTCCCATTCCTAAAAATTATATTATTCCTCTCTCACCAAAGGGTCACAACCCACAGAACCACAAAGAATTTCTCCTAGTATTGTTATCAGCACTAATATTGGTTTTGGTGGAGTTGGGGAGGGGGAAATTCAACCGAAAAACCCAGTTCTCAGTCAGCTAAATCATTGATGAAAGAGGTTACATTTGAGAACTTCTGAGTTCTGTATAAAACTCTTGCCTATTGCCCATTGGAGGATTTAAGTTCTTTAACTCACGATTCAGTCAGTTCAGCTAAGCAATGGCTTAAAAACTTAAAATATATTGGCCAAATAAAAAGTACAAGGACATGAATGAGCACTTGGAGAATAACAGGCCAACAAAATGGTAATATTGATGGAGAAAATGACACACGGCAACTCTTTTCTTAGATACACAACTTCGAGTAGACTAACAACAATGTCAATCACAAGCAATTACTTCAGATGGCCCGCAGTCTGCACCAGTTCTGAATCTTAATTAATACAACAATCACAAGGCGACAGTAAAAGCATAAAACAACGAAAATAAGCAACAATTGCTAAAAATCATTCAATTCAACGCGAAACTGTTGTCCGCGTCGAAGCAAATCAAGCATGAATAGAAGGGAAAGAAATAGTATGAAAATGAGAATTGAGGCGTACCGCTAACGAAGAGTTTGGGAGCTGTGAGAGTGGAACCGAAACGAATGGCGGTGAATTGGAATTGGAATTGCTGAAGAGAAGAGGAAGCGAAGGAAGATCCATTGAGAACTCGTCGAAAGGCAGAAGCGAACGCCATTGTAGGGGGACTCCACAAACCCTTGCAAAACCCTCCCACTTTTCAACTCTCGCTAAGTGGCCGCCGACGGTGACTTTGTGTTCTTCCAACCGCCTTATTTTAAATATTAAAATATTATTTTGGTCCATGTATACAACATCCAATAAAGTCACTACGAAGTAGTTGCGAGAGTTACGAAGGAAATTTCAAGTGAAAATACTTGTCTCCTCAACAACAAAAGGAAATTTGTTCTCCTCGCCACAAATATTTAACCATTCAGTTTGGTCATGGATTGAGAACGAGAATTGAGTTCTATGAGATTGAATTTCTCGTCGTTACTCGTAGGGTGCTTGGCTGTTAACCGATTGCTCATAAAGTCAACTATATCCAAATTTCAATTTTTTTTTTCTGCATGCTAAATATTGATTTCATTTCTAGGTGGAGTCTCCAAGTACTTTCACTAAAAATACAGTCAAATGTCGATGGCTTCCTCTCTCTTTCTTTTTTTTTTTTAAGATTAAATTGCAGCATCTCGAGTATTTAAATTATTTAAGTAATTTTTATAAATTACAACTTCCAATATTGGGATTCTAACCATTCAGTATCCCATTGAAGTAAAGGGACAGAGAATGAGATGGATTTTGGTAATTAACTTTGTTATTCAAATGTTATAATTTGAATAGTGTATTGTTGTTTTGAAGCATGGAAGTAACATTTCCCTACCAATTTTTTATTTTTCAAAAATATATTACGTCACAAATATAACTTCCGACGAGACGTTGACAACTAAATTTTTTATGAGAGATAAATGTAAAATGAAGATATATTTATGTTTAAAAAAGATTGTCAAAGTTCTAGCAGTGATGAATAAACAAAATGGATGTTATCAATCAGCACTTGGGAGACTGAGAGATATAAATAATGGTTTCAAGGTGTATTCTAATACATTAAAATTATTAATTTGAAAAATAATTACTTTCATTCTCAATTACTTAGCAAATTGGTACTGGCATGTATAATTCAGTTGTTTATATTCATTGAATTTTGTAATTTAAGTCATATTATATTCTAAATAATTTAATAAACTTATTTATAAAAATATCAAAAATTTTAAAATTTTCTAATTTCTGCACTAGGATTTTATTTTAATTTCGATTTTACCCTTATTTATTGCATTTACATTTATTATAGTTATTTATTTTTGGGGCCATACTAATTTTCAACATAAATCCCTTAAGAACATCTATATACTAATCCCTAATTTAATTCAATTTTTATGTTTTTTTAAGAACAACATATTGGAAAGAGGAGACGATTTCACAAGAGGTATCTATCAATTACCATTTACATGTTAAACTAATATGAAACTTATAAAACAATAATCTCTATGAACAAAAAATGAACTATGAAATATAAAGCCAAGGAAGGTATGGACTAATTTTGAAGACAACGAGCAATTTTGACCGAGTTATCTTCACTTAAGAAAGTTCTAGCCTATGACATTTATTTATGCAAGTTTGTTTGAATTTTTTTAGTACAACAATCATAGAGATGGAAAATTGAATCTCCAAACTTGAGAGGAACCGTACATGGTAATATTTATCATATGCACACTTCCAATGGTGCACACATTAGGATCTAAATTTTCCACGAAGAAAGAATGGTGCAAATTTACATTTATATCCAAAATATCCTAACAACTTTCCAAATGCAGAAAGATTGGACTGACATTATTTAAACCAAATTCGTAGAAGATTAACTAGTGATATAATATATTATTGTGACCGATATACTTCATTTTTAGTATATCAATTTTTTGAAATAACAAGAGCAAAATAAAAATTGAGAAACAAAATCTTATTTTAAAATTTTTACCATATTTGCAAATATAACAAAAGTTCTTCCTACCCAATAAAAATCACACATGAGAAAGGGAACAAAATCAACACCATCACAATAAAAGCATTAAATTTAAAATTTTTAAAAGAGGAAGAGAAATAGATGCATACACAGACATGAGATTCTTGGAACTTTGATAGTTGCAGCAGGCAATACAGCCCCCTCCAAGATTTGACCTATGGCTGCAAATAATAGAAAGCATCTGGGCATTTCAGGCCTTTCTCTGTATTATTATTTTTCTTTTACACTTTGGAAGAAGGAACACTACATGGAAATATGATCAAAGTTAACAGGAAAAGTGAGAGATCTCTCCAGCATGCATAATAAAAGGTCAGCATGCAAAATATTGATTTTTCTTTCTTCACACCCCCCCTCCCCCCCAATTAGTAGTTAACTATTCTAATTTCTAGTTTGTACAATGAACAAACAGAAACAACCTTTCCAAGAGATTGTTTGTTGGCTGCCAGTCCAAACCGAAACTCGCAGCAAATTATACATCAAACTATCGCTCCCTATGTAGGATTTTAAAGGAGAAAAAGAATGAAATAAAATATGATTCCTTCCAACTTTCACCTAAAACCTTCCTTTCCAACGATCCTACTCAGGATTATTATTTCAATAGAGACATGCGCACCGATCATAATGTCGGCTGCTGCACCACCTTCTCTAGCATCGATGTTCCGTTGAAGATCGTCAGCTGGACCTCCCTCATATACCTCATCAACTGGCCAATCATAGACAACAACATGAGAAACGGTATAACAGATGCAACGTTTGTTGTTGATAAGCATAAGCAATGAGTTAGAAAAAGCAATAGTAGCATAGCATCCTGGAAATTCGGGTCGGATTATGTTCAAGTTGAATAAGTTTCAAACAATTTTATCTAACTCAACTCTTGAACCAAAACTAACCATAACTTATAACCTAACCAAACTCAAATAGTTTAGGTCAAACTGAAACTGATAGAGTTCAAGATTTTCAAGAGACTGAAATTTGTCGTACGCCCATAAAAAGCCAACCATAGAATGGGATGTTACTTACTTGTTCTTCACTCATCTTTCTGAAACCTAATTTCTTGGTCCAAATTGATTCAGCATCCTCCGCAGCAGGGAGTACAAGGTTTTGGACATTTAGGGAAGAAAGTAGCCGCTCTATACATGAAAACAATACTTGGAAGTAACCCTGCAGAAATGGAAAAACAAGTCAACTAGAGAGAGAGAGAGAGACGAATGAAGATGAAACCTATATTCTAACAGCTAAGAGCCTAAGATCACGCCATAGGCTTCTCAATAAGAACCTTAAGCACCTACCTTGCCCTGATGTTCTCTACTTGTGGCAACTATAGGAAGCTCAGCAACTTCACGACCAAAGATTCTAAGAAGACCAGCCGATACAACTA